GGCGCGGGCCGGCAGCGCGGGGTCCTCAGCCCCCGCCCCACGCAGCCCTGCCCCGAGCCTCGACTGAAGCGGACCCGGTGGAGCCCGCGTTTGGCTTCCCCTGCAGGTGCAGTGGTGCCCGCCTGTCACCCCAGCTCTCGGAGGCTGAGGCAGGAGGACGGCAAGATCAGGCCCAGCCCGGCACCTGGGCAAGACCCTTCTCCACCCACCCATCAGGGCCGTGGCTGGAGCTCACTGCGAGGGCAGACACGAGCTTCCTCAAAACAGCAGCAGCCTGACCAGGGAGATGGCGCAGTAGAATAGGCGCTTGCCTGGCAAGTGCAAGGCCCTGAGTTCAATCCCCGGTTCTGCCAAAAAAACCCCAAAAGAACCAAACAGCAGCAGCCATGACACTAAATAAACGGGGTCCTTTGACGGCGCCGTCTGTACAGCTTTGTCTGCTGCCTTTAGTTGCTCAAGAGCTATACGTGTTGCAATTTACACCAAGTTTTGTTTGTACAGGTTAATTAAAACCACAACATCCACCTGAATTAACCTGGGGACAATTCCTTTTTCCTTTTCTTTCTCGGCACATCTAGGCGGAGAACCAGCGCCGTCGCCTGCCACCGGGGCACACTTCCTCAGACTTCTTACTGATGAGTTAGTGTCTCAGAGGACTTAGCAAAGCTAACGTGCTTCAAACACTGATAACGTAACACAAGCACTTCTGTTTCAAAGTCAGCATGTCGCAAAGCCTTGTACTGCGGCCAACACCTTCCCAAGGAGTCCACACTCTCTGCGGCAAGACGAGCCAGCCTCGGATCGCTCCCACTCTCCTGACTGGAGCGCTCCGAATCTCGAGCCTGGAAACCCGGGGCACTGGGCCGCAGAGGCCTGCAGGTGACCAGGTGACCAGCGACAGCCTCCAGGGCTGCCCGTGGGGTCAGACGCACCCGCTACTTCCAGCCCCGAGAAGCGCCTGTCCCAGCAGTGCTCAGCGGCCTGGCACGGTGGGGTTACCTGCAAGGCCAGCAGCCTCACGCCCTCCAGCGGTTTGTCCGGGTCCACCTTTATTTCCTGTGTCCTGGCAAAAACGTCCAGGTCCCGGATGTTCTGGCCAGCCAGGTAAGAGCCCTAGGCAGGGAGACAGCGGACAGAGCACACTTACTCGGAGCACGAGGAGGCGGGCGCTGCTCTGTGGAGCATCCGGGTTGACTTTGACGGTGCTGGCCACTCTGAACTCCCGCATGTGAGCAAGGTGCTCTGCGGCCCGCGGCGAGCCCTGTGCAAACACAAGGGACACCACTGTCACCCAACGGTGGTGACCTCGGGCCAGTGGCAGAGCTGGGATGGGTGGGTGCACGTGCACCCACCGCAGCACACTTCTGGGTGGCTTTAGTGGCCAAAAGGAAAGTTGTATTGTAACAGTTGACTCCACTTTAATATGGTAGATTTGAGTACATCGGAATACAGACACTATCTGCAGCATTATGGCCCTCTTAAAATGTCATTTTTATTGAATGTACTTTGCAACTTTTGTATTACAAAAAATTCTTTTTTTTTTTTTTGTGGAACCGGGGATTGAACTCAGGCCCTTGTGCTTGCCAGGCAAGTGCTTATTATACTGAGCCATCTCCCCGGCCCCTTAGAATTCTTTAAAAATATTACTAATATAATTAGTATTTCCTCTGATAATATTTTCATAATTAATGGTTATACTAAGTTATGATACTAACTTATGATCTTTTTAAAAATGCATTTAGTATAAGGTCTACAGGGTCTCACTACGTAGATCGGACTCATAGCGATTCTCCTGTTTTCTGCCTCCTAAGCGCTGAGATTACAGGCGTGCACCACCACGCACAATCTCAAACTCTGTCTCAGCGCGCCCCGGGGGCTGGGCCAGCACGGCAGGCTGGGGATCAAACCCCGGCCACTGCGCTCTGCCTAGGCAGGCGCTTTAGTCCGCTGAGCTATGTGGCCGGCCCTTATGATCATTTCGCACTGCACTGGATGTGACGCTGAGCTCTCCTACGTGTCTGAGCGCAACAGCTTCTCTCCCGCAGGCTCCTGCACGTGGACCATGCTGAGGTCTCCACACGTGTCTCCCCGCTGCAGCCGCCTGGTACGACACGCGTGTGAGCACCATGTGTGAGCAGTCACCAGCGGAGGAGATGCTGCCAGGTCAGTCGCTGTGCTGACCCAAGACGGCCTGGAGTGGTGACAGCACTGGTACCCTGGCTCTGGTTCCCATACATGTACTTTTCTAGCTATGAGATGCTGCAGAAATTTAGCAGTGTAATTCTACTACACTATGTATTTAATATAATGAGTGACCAATGCATTTCTCTATCTTCAATTTTCTACTTCAAGTAACATGGTACGTTACTGTATCTTTTAATAATTTTGCAAAAATGATCCACATTTTTCTCTGCATGTACATGGTTTTCTGCTTAAGTAGGTTCACATATGCACACGTGCTGCAGGGCGGCCCTGAGCTGCTGGCGACCTCACTGTGCCGTCTTGGGCCAGCGTCCTCCAAGGCAGCACCCCACGGAGCCCTGGAGAGCTGCAGCGTGGTTCAGGACTCAGTGGCTTGTCTGCCTTCCCAGATCGAAGGTGCAGACTGAGACAGGGTGAGTTGGGAGCACAGAGTGAGGACGACCCCAGGCTGAAGGCACAAGCCAGCAGGCCCCACCCAACTCCAGGAGATGTGTCTTAATTTACTGATCTCCTTGTTTGGTTTGTTTGGTTTTGGTCTTACGCCCAAATCCCAAGATCCTCCTGCCTCAGCCCCGGAGTGCAGGGGTGACGGGCATGTGCCAGAGTCTGGCTCAGTAGAGTTAGTTTTTACAATGACTCCGCACCCTTCCTCTGAACCACTTCACACACTGCTCTCTCCCTCGGGGGACAAGTGCTAAAACAGTACAACATCTGCAGTAACCATTCCAGGGAACAGCTTTTTAACGGGTGGATAGGACCCAGTGAGGGCCAGAGCCCTGCCTGGGACAGAGTCCAGCCTGGAGGTGCTGGGAGCCTCAGGCTGGGACCTGCAGGTCTGCCACAGCAATCCATGTTTTCAAAAGTATTTCCTGAGCTGCCGCACTGCCACAGTGCTTCTTCCAAGCAAACGTTTGCCTGTGAGAACTACATGAACGGGCAGCTTGGGTTGTCTTGCTCTTTTGAACATCGAGAAAGCCAAGGCCTAGGTTGGGCAAGCCATGCTTTCTTCCCAAGCCATCAGAGGTGGGGCTCCCCTGCAGGGCCTTCACTCCACACTGTCCCCAGGGATAGTGCCACAGCAGCAACAGGCTTCGGGCTGGTGTTAGGAGGCCGAGGCAGGAAGATCTTAGGTCCAGCCAGGCTCAGGCAATGCAGTGACTTAGTAAGACTCTATCTCAAATAAAGAAAGGTGGGAAGGCCCTGGATCCCAATCCCCTGAACCGCAAAAGAAACAGAACAAACAGCAAAACACTGTTTTGCATCCAACAGAACTCAGCAGAGCCGCAAGAGCACGGCAGGCAGCCCTGCACGCAACAGCAGCTGCAGCGGGGAGGGCAGGACCGGCCAACACGGAGCAGTGTGGTCCACACAGGAGGCCCAGAAAGGCTCAGTACCTTGAAGTTGGGGATCCTGTGGTGCACGGGCCGGGGGAAGTCGGCGACATCGTGAGCCTCCATGTAACTCCAGATCTGCTCCCGGATGTCCTGCTTGGAGACACCTGGGGCACAAGCGGGTCACGCGTCAGACGCAGGAAGGGGGCGCCAGGGAAGGAGCTCCAGGCCCGCGCGGAGGGCTCATCGAGGCCCCCGCCCAGCCCGCGCTCGGCCTGCACACGCGCTCCGCCACACGCCTCTGCTCGCAGCTCACAGGTGCCCGTCCTGGGGCCCGGGCGGCCCTTCTGGGCCTGCTCCCCACGCTGGCCTGCACACCACCAGGAGGGCCATCCCCGCGGCGGGTCCGGCTCTGTGAGGAGGGGCTGGCGCCAGGCGCGGGCGAGCTGAGTGGGCAGCGCCAGCCCGCCGTGACTGCCCGGCCCGGCCCCCGCGGGCAGCCAGAGGCCCCTGCCTGCCCCTGCCCGTCAGCCTGGGCACGGTGCAACAGGAGCCGGGCGGCGCCCTGCCCGGGGCTGCTCTCGCCTCCGTGTACATAAACTGGTTTCCATCCTTGCGTCCCACTGGCACCGCCCCGAGCCCACCGCGAGGGAAGAGTGCCTGCGCGGACATCTTTCAGGGGTTCCGTTTTATTTGGAGACAGTCCAACCGAGCTGCCCGGCTGGGCTCGAACTCGCGATCCTCCTGCCTCAGCCTCCCGAAGGTTGGGGGCTACAGGCGTGCGTCATCACGCCTGGCCTTGTTCTTTCCAGGATCCTTCCTCGGACGCCGGGTCGGAGCCCGCAAGCCCTTCCAGCCCCACAGGCCCGGGGTCCACACACCCATGGGCTCCTCCACTCCGCCGCCCTCACCGGCCCTCGGCTCCATGGCGACGTCTTCACTGCGCGACGCCCCTCAGGCGGAGCCCGGCGCGTTGTGACGTCACTACTGCGCGCCGGCCCACGGCTGCGCACTGCCCGGGAGGCGGGGCCGCGGCGGGAAAGGGCCGGGACACGCATGCGCGGACGGCGCCGGCCGGCTTTGCCTGGAACGGCGGCTCGGGGGAGCGGAGCTCGGCGGCTCCTGGGACTGGCGCCCTGCTGGCCTCCGGGGCGTCAGTGCGCGGCCTCGGGTTTTTCATGTGCTCTTCCAGATCCCAGAGGCCTCCTCCCCCGGGAAGCCGGCCCGGATTTCTCCCCCGTCGGAGGCTCCGGGGACGCGCGCTCCGGCGGGGACCACGATGCGCCGCGAGGCTGTCGCGCGAACGCGGCGTGCGTGGCCGGCCCGAGCCCAGGCC